TTTAAAAAATTGTGTATATATGTAAAAGTGTGTATATATATAAATGTATAAGTGTGTATATATATATATGTATATAATTATGTATGTAGATGTATATGTGTATATATGTATATGTATATAATTGTGTATAGATATAAAAGTGTATATATATGTATATGTAATTTTATATTTTATTTTAAAAAAATAAAATTTGAAATTCTGTATTTTTATTTTATTTTATTAGTTTTTAAAAAAAAATCTAGAAATTTTTTATTTTTATTTTATTTTTTATTTATTTTCTGACGTGGCTGGATGATGTGGCGAAATATGCTGATTTGGCGAAATCTGTATGACGTGGCATGCCACGTCAACATTAAAATTGACGGAACTTAACGTCGTTTACGGATATGGGGGAAATCGCAACACATTTTAAGATTTTGTGGGGGAATTTGGAAAAATTTGAAATTCGGTATAGTTTTTTGTCAAATTAAAATTTGGTGTAGGAAATTGGAACTTTTTCGAAAATTTGTGGAGAAATATGAGATTATCCCTATTCTTTTTATTGGGTCAATATAACTCATTATTTAATTTATATCAATTCCGATTGATTTTTTTTCCTTCTATTTTCCATAGTCACTGATACAGCTGTCAAACAAGCCCAATATATATATATATATATATATATATATATGCATAGTTACCAAGCTAACTATATGTAACGCAATAAATAATTTGAAAAGAATCACCTTAAACGAGCTCCCATTTGTCAACATCGGTCCAACAAAGCTGTAATAAGTTGTAGTTGTTCCGATAAATATATAATTCAATCATTATTTGATAAATATCACACGATTTTTTGAAACAAAATTGGATTTTATATATATATATATAACTACACACACTATTCGATTACATACACGTTTAGTATTTGTTACAAGCGGTCGAGTTTTGTTTTCCTTGTCTATTTAAATTTGTTTGTTTTTATATTTTTATCACATGAAAAATAAAATAAGAAACACAGTTTCGTATTTTTTTCAGCGCGTGACATTGACGCACTACGAAGTCCGAACACAAGACACGCATGATTGGTGGCGTGATGTTCGGAGGGGACCTCTCAAGACTGCTCTTATATATATATATATACATATATATTCATTTATAGATAATGCATGGTATAGGTAGACAAAATTATTATATGCGATAAATATTTAATATTTCTTACAAAATATAAAAAACATATCTCATATTTATCACAAGATCTGCTCTACCTAAATTACAAAAAGTAAATGATGACGCCACGTCAGTTTGCCAAGTTTTTGCATAATCTTATGAATCATTAGTTGTTTATTTAAAATTAATTTCTATATATTTATATGGAAATCTAATAACATTTGATATGTTTATATGAGATAATTAAGAAATTTCAAATACCATCCCGATTTTTTACCATTTTTAAATACAAATTGTCTGACAATTTCTTCTGCTGTTCTAATTTTGTTAAATTCGAAAGGATCTCTGCATTTAGATAATAATACAAAGTGATCATAACAATAATTTTTTTTTTAAAAATAATAATATGTGCTAAAAATAAAGAAACAGAAAATCAATTTGGGTATATCAAAAGTTTCCGATATGCTTTCTTTCTCGTGAAGAATTCTCATACTAACACATGCCCACCCACCCGCACATACTTACATTATATATATATATATATATATATAAGCTTATTTAACACATTTTAATAGATAGCTAAAGAAGATAAAACACAGCAGATCGCCATGGAAAAGATAAAGTAGAAGAATACATTCTTCATTCCTTTAATTTATGTGAACGTGAACTGATTATGAAATAAATAAATAAATTTTAAAGCTCATTTTTTTTACCACTCCAACTAGAAAAACAAAAACCTGTCTTTGAATCTAAGTCTCTCTCTCTCTCTCTCTCTCTCTCTATCTCTCTCTCTCCCTCTCACTTGTTCACCATTTCTGCTAATTACCAATCATCCCGACCAAGTTATCTTTGGTGGACTGTCGCTAAATCCCAGTTCTTGTCCGTTTGAGTGCTGTCTCAGCATTTACTTTTCTGTTCTTCAACTTCACTTTTCTCTTTCTGCTAATCTTGAGCTCTGTTTCTTGAGCTCTGAAAGTGCCATTTTAGAGATGATTCTTTAGAAAACTCCTCGTCCTTTTTTGCTCCCACCAGGTTTTTTTTCTTGCGGTTATTGGTCATCCGAGTGTTTGTTTAGTGAGAAAATCTAGGTCCTTTCCTTTTAATGAGGCGAATTTGAGGGAATCTTGGAAGGAAAATGAGATCTTGCTGTTCTTCACTTCTCCAGCTGTGTGTTGTTCTTGGATTCCTCTTCATTTCCTGTGAATCGTTTCCCTCTAGTGAAGGTACGTGTCTTCTCTTTCGCCCAGATCTCAATTTTTTCTTGTTTGTAGTTGTGCCTCGCCTGTTTGGTTGCTGAGAAAATGAAGGAAAAAGCTAGCAAAGCCTGCAACTTTAGTTTCCTACAAACCAGGAAGGAGACTAATTAATCTGATAACATCAACTGATCTCTGTGAAAATCAGTAGAATCTATTTAAACTCTAGCTTCTGCTCTTGTCGGATAAGATTTCTGATTATTTTTTAAGGATCCTTGGTATGTAGTTGAAGCTCTTAAAAGATTCAAGGAGTCTATTTATGATGACCCTTTGCTTGTTATGACCAATTGGAATGCCCCAAATTCGAGCCCCTGCGATTGGACCGGCATTTCGTGTTCTCCATTTCGGGATCATGTCATCAAGATGTAAGAAACTTGGGATCTTTCAATTCGGCATTGCCCACTTGTTTCTTCTCCATAACTGTATCAGCAAATTGATCATCTTTGTCACAATTGGAATGAAGTTTCAGATGAATATCCACTGGTCTGCGTATTCGTTTCATGTTGTGGATCTTCTCTTGTGTTTGCAGAAATATATCCGCTTCATCGATTAAAGGTTTTCTTGCCCCGGAACTCAGTCAGATTACCTACTTGCAAGAACTGTACGTTTTTCTAAATACACTGCAAATATGTAGTTTGATTCATATAATTTTTATGTAATTTGAGATGGTACTATTGTGTTGAATTCTTCTGTTGTAGGATTCTGCACCGCAATATTCTCATGGGGACGATACCAAAGGAGATAGGAAATCTGAAGAATCTCAAAGTCTTGGACTTGGGAAACAATCAGCTGACAGGACCGATCCCTGCAGAGCTCGGGAACTTGTCCAGTATCATGATAATGTAATAAAGATTCAACCTTTTGTAATCAAATGATGCGTTTTTATGTGCAAGTTCATGCCTTTTTTTGGGGGGGGGGGGGGGT